AAGTGCTGCCTTATAATGGTACTTTAACAAACAATGGGTAAGCGCTGTCTTATAATGGTACTTTAACAAACAATGGGTAAGCGCTGTCTTATAATGGTACTTTAACAAACAATGGGTAAGCGCTGCCTTATAATGGTACTTTAATAAACAATGTAATTACTTTGTGAGTTTATACAATTGAGTAACAATTAGCAGTTTGATCTCCACTTCTTAATGTTAAAAGCTCAATATAAGCAGTGGAAGTGAGTTGATAATTAGCAGTATAAGTGTAACGGTGTTACCTAGTGTTACAGTTATATTCTCTTGGTTTGAAAAATCCCCAGAAATAAAATATTAAACATATAATAGGCTTAATACTAATATCTTGTTATAAGTATATTTAATCTTTCTTGTTCTCTAGGATATTCAGAAGGTTTTCTAGTTCCTCCATTATTCAGCCAATTCCATCCTCGGTTGTGGAGTTATTAAAGGTAATTTTTGTATTCATAATAATCTAACTTGCAAATATTTTTCTTCCAAAAACATATCTCAAGATATTCAAAATACAGTTCTAGCTATCAATAACAAAAACAGAGCCGATTTGATAAACTTTTAGAATCTTACTCAAAATGGGCTGACTCTTAACTCACCATTTTTAGTAAGTCCTTTTAACTCCCCATTTTTAGCAAGTCCTCTTAACTCACCATTTTTAGTAAGTCCTTTTAACTCCCCATTTTTTGGTAAGTCCTTTTAATTTACCATTTTTAGTAAGTCTTTTTATCTCCCCATTTTTAGCAAGTCCTTTTAACTTACCATTTTTAGTAAGTCATTTTAACTCACTATTTTTAGTAAGTCTTTTTAACTCACCATTTTTTGGTAAGTCCTTTTAACTCACCATTTTGTAGTAAGTCTTTTTAACTCACTATTTAGGTATAAAAATATTATTGTGTCAAATTTATATGGACCCATCACCATTATAATAGGTCTAACTACATTTCTTCGGTTCACTGACCCAAACTGTGTTGATGACCCTTGAATAGGCGAAACTGTAGTCCACAGCTGAGGGCACAACGAATCAAAGGATGCATTAGGCTTCTACGTCACATATTATTACTTAGAATTTGAACTTTAGGAAAACAGAAGATATGTGTAATATAATTTCTAGTAAACTTTCAACTTGGCAGACCTATTTATCGAAGTATTAGTTCAAAATGTTTGGACTTAGAAGAACTTGGGTGATTCTTTATAGTACAGTTTCTTGTTTTACAGCGTCTGTTTTTATAAACACAGTTTCGTAATCATTAAGAAACGAACTATAACTGAAAATCGAGGTTTCGATTCTCGTGGTTGGCACAAAAAGTCCATTATGCAGTTTTCGCTTAACAAACAAAAGTTTTTACCACTCCATCTTGTTCAGTTTATATTTTTGGATACTTCTTTGCTACTCTAAATATATTTACTATTAGAACGTAAACTAAAGATATTTCTTTTATTAATATTCACCTTGTAAGTCTGTCACTTCTCTTTAGTAGCAGTTTTATATTCGAGCATGACAGTAAGATTTATTTTATTTGGACAGGATATAGACGAATGGTCTTTTAACGTGTTTACTGTCAGCGAAGTGGCTAACGGACAAGTTCTGCGTTACGTTAGCCTTGACATACTCAACCGCTATGGAATTATTAATAAATTCAAGGTAAAAGTACTTCCTAAAATAGTTTTTATAATCTGCTTTTTTTAAGGCAAAAAATGGTATATTTGGTCTGTTACTCATAATGTTATCAAATTTGACTAAACCCTTCAGTGGTCGCATCACCACACGACAACAATAAAGGTAACGTAACTAAACCCTTCAGTGGTCCTTTCACCACACGACAACAATAAAGATAACATGACTAGACCCTTCAGTGGTCGTTTCACCACACGACAACAATAAATATAACATGACTAATTCCCTTCAGTGGTCGCATCATCACACGACAACAATAAAGATAACATGCCTAAACCCTTCAGTGGTCGCTTCACCACACGACAACAATAAAGATAACATGACTAAACCCTTCAGTGGTCCTTTCACCACACGACAACAATAAATATAACATGACTAAACCCTTCAGTGATCATTTCACCACACGACAACAATAAAGATAACGTGACTAAACCCTTCAGTGGTCCTTTCACCACACAACAACAATAAAGATAACGTGACTAAACCCTTCAGTGGTCGCTTCACCACACGACAACAATAAAGATAACATGACTAAACCCTTCAGTGGTCCTTTCACCACACGACAACAATAAAGGTAACGTGACTAATTCCCTTCAGTGGTCGCATCACCACACGACAACAATAAAGGTAACGTGACTAATTCCCTTCAGTGGTCGCTTCACCACACGACAACAATAAAGGTAACGTGACTAATTCCCTTCAGTGGTCGCTTCACCACAGTACAACAATAAAGATAACATGACTAAACCCTTCAGTGGTGGCTTCACCACCCGACAACAATAAATATAACATGACTAAAC